CTACTTTTCAATTACATTAATTCAGGGGGGAAAAAAACCTCTACACTGACAGCATACCTGATGGTGAATCACTGAATACTTTCTTCTTAAGATAAAGAAGATAAATTAATCTCTCCCATCACTGCTGTTCATCACTGTAAGGGTGGTCTTAGCCAATGCAATAATGAATTTAAAAATGAGAAAAATAAAGACTAGAGAAGAAGTAAAACCGTCCCTAGTCAGAGAGGATATGATAATTTACACAGAAAACCCCAAGGAATTAAAGAAGAAAAATACTTGAACTTATGTGTATTTAGATTCAAGTTTAACACACAGTCAATTGTATATTTAACATAGTCAATTGTATCTATTTGTCCACAGTCAATTGTATATATTTAAAATCTGAAAGTCAATGTAATTAACCACATACATACATGATAATCTATATGGAAAATTCCATGAATTTACAAAATGCAGAATTAATGAGTTTAATTCCTTTCCCTATGGATTCACTCTACCTTAACTATATCTAGTCCTATTTCATCAAATTATTTCTTGCACTCATTTTTTCTTCACCCCCTACAGTCAATCATTACTTTTCCTAGTAACATCATTAATAAAATAATCTTCCAATTATCTCTAAACTATTAGTCATTGTCTACACTGTAAACATAAAGTGATAGAGCTGAATTATGTCTTACATTTGGTATATAAATAAATCCTTAAGTAAGCATAGTCCTTTTCTACCTGTCTGTTCCTGACCTTATATGCCAGCCAAATTAAAACTTTTTTTTTTTTTGATACCAGGGATATAATAGTTATCAAGGGTACTTAATCACTGAGCCACATCCCCAGCTCAAAACATTTTTTCAATTCCTCAAATACAGCATTCTTGTGTCTTTACTTTGAATGTTTGCATATGCTGCTGCTTCTTTCTGAAACATTCCTCATTGTATCTCAGGTACCTCTGTCATTCCTCAAGAAAGTATAACAGGGCTAAAATTTAAAAAGAGGTTACCAAAGACGTTTATAAGTAGGTAATAAGAGCCTAAATTTAAGTTATTACAACAAAACACATGAAAGAAATATAAGACAGAAATACTGACATGTGAAATAAAAGCAAGTACTATAGGAACTGTAATACTGAACCATATGTGACTTTTTCTGTATTTATTCAAGCCTGACAAAATAAATAATTCAGCAACTTTGAGTTATATGTTAAAACAAGAAAAAACTTTAGCTGGGCACAGTGGCTCACACCTATATCCCAGCAAAATGAGGAGACTAAAGCAAGAGGATTCCAAGTTTCAGGCCATCTTCAGCAATTTAAATATATATATATATATATATATATATAGATATATATATATATATATATATATATATATATATATTTTAGTTATAGATGGACAACATCTTTATTTATTTATTTTTATGTGGTGCTGAGACTCGAACCCAATGCCTCACGCATGCAAGGCAAGTGATCTACCACTGAGCTACAACCCTAGGCCCAGTAATTTAGTGATAACCTCAGTAACTTAGTGAGAGTCTGTCTCAAAATAAAAAATAAAAAGGACTGGTATTGTAGCTCAGTGGTAAAGCATCCTGGCTTCAATGCCCAGTACCAGAAAAAAAAAAGGAGGAGGATTAGAAGGAGGAGGAGGGAGGAAGATCAATCAAACTGTTCCACATAAATTAAGCCATACTTCAGTTGACTTAATATTTTACTGTTAGAGCAGGATTTTCAAAATGTGGTTCTTGGACTTGCAACATCAATTATCACATGGGAACTTGCTCTAAAGGCAAATTCTTTTCTAAATTTTTTATTTGTGTATTATAACTAAAAATAATAGTGGGATTCATTATGCCATATTAGTACATGCACATAATTTGATCAATCTCATTCCCTAGGATCTTCCCTTTACCTTCCTCCTTACCTTCCTGTGATCCTCTGCCTCTACTCTACTGATTGTCTGTCTATTACTACATGAGGGGATAGAAAGGGACCAGGGGGTAGAAAGATAGAAGGGACGGGAGAAGTGCTGGGGAATAATTCTGGCCACATCATATTGTTATCTATGTGTTTATCACCAATATATAACAACAAATCCCACTGTTATATACAACTATAATGCTCAAATAAAAAATGTGGAAAGAAACAAAAATAGCATTAAATGAGATACATGCAAAACACTTAGTTAATAAACCTACAATTGATATTTCATAAATGACACTACCTTATTCCTTTCTCTTTTGAAGAATGATGCCCCTTTCCTTCAGTGTATTCATTACCCTCAAAACCTTAATGTAAGTTCAGGCTGGCAAGTAGAAATGGGATATTAACTATAAAATCTTTAAAGTTCCTTTCTTGGGGGCTGGGGTTGTTGCTCAGCAGTAGAGCGCTCGCCTATCATGTGCAAGGTCCTGGTTCGATCCTCAGCACCACATAAAAATAAATAAATAAGATAAAGATATTGTTCCCAACTACAACTAAAAAATAAACATTTTTTTAAAAAACATCCTTTTTGGACATATTTTGGCATCTCACAATTTTTCTACTTAAATATTAAAATTACAGACCAGAGAAAAAGAATGGCAAAGAGAATTAGAAATACCAAGGTTCTGCCAGGGAGTAATTCAGGTTTATCTTTTTGAACTGAAAAAATGTCTCATGTAAAATCACAGTATTAGACTAGATCATATCTAAAGCCTCTTTTAGATCCCTAAAATTTTATGATTCTAACTTTCCTGAAACAATTATTTTAGATGATAAGCAAGTTAAAAACCCTGGAACCAAGGAATATATTGCCATTTAAAAAGGAACACTCCAAACAGAAAAGACAAAGTTAGAAACAGTAGAAGAGAGCAAAAAGATCAACCTAGTATAAAATTCTTATTTCCCTAAATTCATCCTGGCATAATTAGAACAGAATATCTTCTTGTATCCAAAATTATGTGATGTACGTTTTATCTCTTGTAGTACATGTGAGCTCAGTATTAGTCCTTTTGGAACACTTTCTCAGGAACCATAGGAATATTGGTGGTCACTGTATTAATGTATATTCATGAGTATTCCATGTATCCTAGTCTTGCACCATTAGTAATAAATGATTTTAAAGTAATATCAGCACATTTTTTTAAAAAGCATCACAAAATAGTCACACCCCACTTTTGGCCAAAAAAAAAAAAAAATCTGGCATAAAAATCTGTCTTGTCACTTCTCCAATCAATCTAAAGCCAAGACTGGCTAGAGTGTCTTATGAGCACAGCAAGATAATCTAGGAGTCAACTGACTTTCTTTTCTCTCAATGCAGTGTCACATGTATCTTTTGGGTATTTTCTTAGCTAACAATTTACCTTTCTGGGAGAGCTGCATTACTGACATTTCACCTAATATTCATGTTTATATGGGTTTATTTACCAAGAAATAACAGTATAACTCAAGGCCCTTGGAGAAAGTCAAGTCATCTGAAGACAAAATATGAGGAAACATTGTTTTAATTTTAATTAAGTTTAAAAGTGTTTATTTTCACTGAGATTATCTGGCCCGTGGCTTATTTTTATCACTTCATCCTCTATTTTCTTCTGGTTGATTGTGATATAAAAATCAATACATGAAACCAAAAAATAAAATAGTAACATTTAACATCAAATATTTATTTCCCACTAACAATTCATTCAGAGAACTAAGACCCAAGATGAGGGGGGGGCACTAAACAAGCCAGATGTGACGGTACACACCTGTTATCCCAGCAACTCAAGAGGCGAAGGCAGTAGGATTATACGGTCGAGGCAACTTAGCAAGACCCTGTCTCAAAAAAATAAAAATATAGGCTGGGTGCAATGGCGCACACCTGTAATCCTAGAGGTTGAGATAGGAGGATCATGAGTTCAAAGCCAGCCTCAGCAAAACCGAGGCGCTAAACAACTCAGTGAGAACCTGTCTCTAAATAAAATACAAAATATGGCTGGGGATGTGGCTCAGTGATTGAGTGCCTCTGAATTCAATCCCCAGTACCCACCGCCCCCCAAAATAATAAATAAATAAAAATATAAATATAAACAACTGGGGATATAGACCAGTGGTAAAGTGTTCCTGGGTTCAATCTCTAGTAGCATACAAACAAAACAAAAAAGAAACAGAAAACTAAACAAACAAAACCCCCTACTTTTTTATAACAATATTTATATTTTCTGTAGACATTCTATCAGTATAGTCTTATAATGGATTTCTGAAACACTGATTTAGAAACTATTCTGCTTCTTCATTTTTCTAAGCTGTCCATAATATTTCCTTAAAAATGAACTCTTCCTACACTAATCAAAAGGCTATCATAATTTCTGTAAAAGTCTCTCATGGTATAACCATGTAAACATATAAGAATTCAACCAAAATTTGCAGTAAGCCCTTCATCTAGGTTCATAAAAAGATATATTTCCTTAGTGTATTTCATAATGTTCAATTTAAAAAGTCAACAGCTGTACTATTTAATCATATGTTATCTTCTATTTCTATGATCTGATGTTTCTAATCAAAAAAACCATGATTACAAATACTGAATAATAAGTTTGAGTACCTATTGAATTTATTCTCTATCTCATTTGGGAGGTCTCTTTTGAATATTCTTATTTGGAAAATTTATCCTGAACAAAAAAATAAGGATTTTTTGTTAGAAATCATTCTCCATGAATACCATAAAAATCCAATTTCATTTTAGTGCAAATTAATAAGTCTCCAGATATTTTAATTTTTATGCCCAGTCATCTCTTCAAGTCAAGAGGATGAATTATACTTTTTTTTTTTTTTTTTTCAGTTTTCTGAGATACACAATTAATGAAACTGGCACTAGACTTATAGGCTGACTTACAAAAACATCAAGTAAAGGGGAATGAAGACAAAAGAATTACCTCCAACTGTTCAAATAAAAATTTAAAAATTCATTAAATCAGTGAACATTTAAAACAAAAAGGACTTTATATTTTAAACAGAGAGAAAAAACTAAAATGAAAATGAAACTTACTGGGTTATCTGTGGAATCATCAGCCAACTGTAAACCAAAATAGTCTCGTTCAGTCAAATCAAGATGCTTGAAGACTATATCCAACAAAACTTGTCCCAGCTCATTTTTCTGAAAAGAAAAATAACATGAAACCAATTTTGCTTTATAACCTGCTTGACTTTTTGTCCTCTTCTATTAAAATGGCAAATGTCTCTATACCAATGACTTGGTTCCGAGAAAAGCCTTCACATTTAATAGTTTTTAAAAACAAACTGGTTCAAGAGTATATAATAAATATGAAGATATAAAGAAACCTTTGAAAATGTCTCTTGCTTTCAGGTTATCATCATGGTATTTTTATCAGTACCACATTAATTATATGTGTATATAATTAACATGTAGGTACATAGTATGATTAACATATGTTAGTTACGTATAACTCCATGTCATTTTTCTCATGTCTTTTCTTGTATCTAAATTATGACTGAAAAGTAACTGGCTTGACTAATTATAACTGAAAATATAATTTTGTGTAAAATAATGCCATGAAAAGGGAAACAAAAGATGTTAAAAATACAGCAAATGTGATAAAGGACTATTATTTCATTATGATGCTCAGAGAACTTCAGGAAAATGTCTCATTTTAACCTCACACTACCCCTACAGTAATAAATAAATTATTTATTATTCCCTTGTTTTAGTAATAGTAACTATAACTTCCCCAAGTTCCATAGTTACTAAATTATTGCACAAAGACATGATTGTACAATTGTCTAAAAAAAAAAAGAAATGAAACTAATGAATAAAAACAGAGAAATGATTAACATGTTTAGTAATAAAAGAAATAAAAGTGGGACACTACAACAACAGAACATGTGTAAACAACAGTGGAAAAAAAACCCTGGTGAGCAAGATTTAAAAATACTAACTACTGCTAACATTGTAGATAGATATAACCTGTTGGGAAAGGAATTTGAAATATTAAACAAAAGCAAAAACAATGTTAACTACTTCTGGGATGTTGAATCTGAGTAATGACATAAAGCCCAAAACTGGGGGAAAGAACTATACACACCAGTATGTTCACTGCAGTGTTATTTATACAAGAGAAATAATAGAAAACACAGCAGTAAATAGTGGTATATTTTACCACTACTTTATCCATTCATGAGATATAGTAGTTTGGAAGCTTCTAGCTGTAAATCAGAATCCAATCTCAGAGCTGAAATATTAAGAACATTTTAATAGAGGTACAATAGATTCCAGAGCTAAATAAGTCAGTAAATAAAAGACATAATCAAAGGGGCTGGGGTTGTGGCTCAGCTCTTCTGGCATGTGCGAGGCCCTGGGTTCGATCCTCAGCACCACATTAAAAAATAAATAAATAAAATAAAGGTATTGGTCTAACTACTTTTAAAAATTAAATGTTTAAAAAAAAAAAGACAATCAAGGACCAGGTTTCTTTCCATGTCTCTTATCTGCATTCCAGGGTTGGCTATTTTGGGGTGCTGTGAGCAAGATTATCACAGTAATTCCAAAATTTATACGCACACAGGACAATGTTCAAAAGAAAGCATTTCCTTGTAAACTTATTTTACAAAGAGCTTCCCTTCATGTCTTATTGGCAAGAACTGGTAAAATGATTATTTACCAAACTCATCAATGGCAGGAAGTATGGGTTTCAAAAATAGGGCTTCTCAATGTTGCTGCCCATTCAATTACCTGAAAATATTTTTTATATTGCTGAAACTTACCTCCTGGCCCCTCTCCTATTCTGATTAAACTGACCTGAGGAAGAGATCGAGCATTAAGTCTTTTGAAAAATCTAAGGTGAGTTTGATGTACTTGTCTAGATGGGATGTAACAGAATCATTTTCTGCTATGCCTCCAGCTGACTGCAACTAATAAACATGCTAAAATGAAAAATTTTTTAAACTCTGAAATGTGGAAAAAGGCAGCAAGGCTATGGTCAGATCACATATGGTTTTATAAAATACTGTGTAGATATTAAAAATTTTAAGACAGGATAAATTAAGAGACTCCTATGATAATACCAAGTATAATGGAGACCTAAACTATACTGACATCAAAAATGATAAACTGATCTATTCATTAAGGCAGAATTGGCAAAAAAGCAACTGACTATAGATAAGGAAGGATGGAACATCAAAGACAATGTGTGTACGTGCCTGCATTATTCAAATATGTCATTAGTGGTACCATTCACTGATGGAAGGAACACTCCATGAACAAACCTCAGTTTCAAAAACCTATATTATATAAAAAATTGTTTAATATCTCTAGCAATTATAGAAATGCAAATTAAAAACACACTGATATTCATTCTATCTCCCTCTAGTCAGAACGGCAATTACCAAGAATATAAGTAACAATAAAGGCTGGAAAGGAGAAAAAGGTACACTCATACTTTGCTGGTGAAACTGCAAATTGCTGTGACCTCTCTGGAAAGCAGCATGAAGATTCCTCAGAAAAACCGAATGAAACCACCATTTGACCTGGTTCTCCCACTCCTCAAAATATACCTGAAGGACTTAAAATCAGCATATTACAGTGACAAAGTCACATCAATGTTTACAGCAGCTTAATTCACAACAGCTAAGCTATGAAACCAACCTAGGTGCCCTTCAACAAATGAATGAATAAAGAAAATGTGGTACATATACACAATGGAATATTACTCAGCCATAAAGATGAATGAAATTATGGCATTTGACAGTAAATGGATGGAACTGGAGACTATGCCAAGTGAAATAAGCCAACCCCAGAAAACCAAAGGGCAAATATTTTCTCTGATATGTGGATGCTAACACACAATAAGGGGGAGTAATACAAGTTCACTGGATTAGCAAAAGGGAAAAGAAGGGAAGGGACCGAGGATGAGAATAAGAATGAATGAATCAGACATCACTTTACTATATTCATATGTGAATACATGACCAGTGTAACTCCACATTTTGTACTACCACAAAAATTAATCTTAATTAGAATAAGCTATACACTCTATGTATGTATATGCACATATCAAAATACACTGTATTGTCTGTATATCTAAAAAGAACAACAAAAAAGGAAAAAAACCCTATATTTTGAGGGCTTATGATTCAACCAAAGGAAGAAGGATAGAAGGACTTAAAAATCCAACTGCAAGCTGGGTCCACTGGTGTACGCCTATAATCCCAGCTACTCCAGAGGCTGAGGAAGGAGAACTGGAAGTTGAAACCCAGTCAAGAAACTTAATAAAACTCAGTCTCAAAATAATATTTCAAAAAGGGTTGAAGGTGTAGATAAGTGGTAGAGCTTCCCTGGGTTCAATTCCGAGTACCTCAAAAAAAAAAAAAAAGAAAAAAGAAAAGAAATTTATCATTCTTTGCCCTACTATCCATTTTCTGTTGCCAATAACATAACACCATAGATTGGGATGGTTTTTTTGTTTTTGTTTTTTTCTTTTTGCACCAGGAATTGAACCCAGGGGTGCTTAACCACTGAGCCACATCCCCAGCCCTTTTTAATATTTTATTTAGAGACAGAGTCTTGCTGAGTTGCTTAGGGATTTGCTAAATTCCTAAGGCTGAGCTTTTGAACTTGTGATTCTCCTGCCTCAGCCTCCTGAGCTGTTGGGATTACAGGCACGAGTCACTGTACCTGGCTTGACTGCAGAGTTTTAATCAAGAAAAGTTTCTTTAGATTCTTGGTTCTGAAGGTGCAAAGTCAAGGGGCCACATCTGACAAATGGCTTTCTTGTTGGCGGAGTCCTAAGACAACACAGATCATCACAAGGCAAGAGAAAGGGGCAGAGAGGGAGAGAAGGTGGCAGGGGATCTCCATCTCTATCTCTTGCTCTCTTCTGAACTCCCTCCCACTAGACACTAAAATTTACGCAGCATATGTGTGGCTCTGGGCTCAATCCCCAGTACCACAAGAAAAAAATAAACCACTAGGATTCAATTATTAGGGGAAAGCTCCATCCTAATGACTTTATATAATCCTAATCACCTCCCATATGCCCCACCTCTAAAACGCATCCACCCCCAACACACAACTGGGAATTGAACCCAAGGCCTCACACATCCCTAGGCGAGTGATCTATTACTGAGCCACATCCCTAGCCCACCAAAGACCTCACCTCTAAAAACCATAGTCAGATTGAGTTTCTGCACTTTTAATACCTCATAATAGGGATTAAATTTCAACATACAATCTTGGGGGAACCACTCAAGCCATATCCAAACCATAGAAATTGCTAAGGCCTAGTGAGGTGCTATTTTGATCCAATCCTCAAATCCCTTACTAATCATGCACACCTCTATGCTTGCACATTCTTACCTAATGACAGCCTCCTTGATTTTCCCACACTAAACTCAATCTCTACTCTTCTAACAGACTTACCTGAGGCTTGTTTCTCAGTTCTGAACTGTGCTCTAGTGCCACCACCTGTGACCACATGTACCTTCCACGCTCCCAGCTCATTCTATGCCTTTACCACATTTTCACTTTCTTAATAATTAACACCATCATATATATATAAAGTATATTTATATATGTCTCACACTAGAAAGCTCCAGAGTAATAGTCTTATTATCAAGTTACTAGAATCTGGAACACTGCCAAGCATAAATAAATATTTGTTGTTGAATGAATAAACAATAAATGGATGAATAAATGATTCACTGTCCGACCGAGAAGCAATACATATTTGAGAGTCATCAGTCTGAGAACTGAAGCAGATAAAACTGCCCTGTATCTAAACAAAGAGTAACATGACAGGTGAAAGAGAATTCTGGAATGTACCAGAGATTCTAAGAAGTCTGTCCAAAAAAGGACACCAATAAATATTTGGTTTACTGAATTTTGTTTTTTTTTTTTTTTTTTTTTTTGTACCAGGAATTGAACCCAGGGGTGTTTAACAACTGAACCATGTTTTATTTTGAGACAGGGTCTCACTAAGTTGCTGAGACTGGCTTTGAACTCATGATCCGCTCCCTCAGCCTCCCAAGTTACTGGGATTACAGATGTGCACCAACTGTACCCAGTGGTTAGTTGAATAATTAAATGATAAAACAGCATATAGAAGCAATTATTAAAGTGTATGTGGCTTTTGGTCTTTGGAG